GAGGGCGAGGGCGAGGGCGGAGGCGCCGAGCGCGCGACGCATCGCGCGCCGCGGTGTGCGGACGCGACGCCGAGCGACGGTGGTCGTCGAGACGAATCGAACACTGTGATTTGAATCTACTTTTGTACCTAGTACTACGCGCTATGTGAATCATCGAAGCGCGACCGTGGTGGCGCGCGACGGAGGAGACTTACTACTAATCGAGCTTGGCTCGGCGAGCGTCGATGATGCCGCCGAACGCAAAGACGGCGCACGCGACGTGCGCCAGACCGCCATTTCCGGGCGCACTCGCGTAGGCGGCTGTGCAACCGGCAATAATGTTTATCGCAGTCGCCGTTGGACGCGTCTTCGTGGACGATTGAGTGATGAAGGCGACGGCCACGGCGACGCACGCGGCGTCCGCCGGACCGAACGGCGCGACGACGTCTCGAAAGCCGACACCTCGCGCGAACGTTGTCCACGCGTGATGCGCCCAGGCGATGAGCGATGGTGTATATGCGATGAGTTGACACGCGAAGAGCGCGCGTCGTTCGCCGAAAGATCGAGCGAATCGCGCGATCGATCCGCACGCAACGCAGACGGCGATCGAAGCCGCAAACGACTCCGCCGGTCGCTCTCGAAGGACCGGCGGCGATGCGAAGTGCGCGACAACGGCGAAGACGATGATGGGCACCAGCTGTGTCGTCATTGCACCGACGACGAGATGCGCGACGACGCCGGCGAAGACGCTCGGCGTGCGCTCCTGAACCGTCTCGTAAAATCTCGAAGGAACGCCGAACGCGGACCCGTCGGAGGACTCTATAATCTCACCGAACGCGTCGCGGAACCCGTTCGCGATCTCTCTCGGCGTCATTTTTGACGTGAGTTCGCCGTCGCCGTCGTCTTCTGGACGAGGATCCGGAAATGCCCGCTCGAATCCTTGAGCGACGGCGCTCACCAACTGTTTACACCACGTCGCGCACTGATGATCGATCGCCACCCCGACGTTCGCAATCTCCGGCGCGCTCGCGCTGATCCCCAACCCCTCATTAACCCATGCGTTTGCGTTTCCCATCGCCATCGAGCTCACCTGCCGATCGCGCGCGCCTCCCACGACGCTCGCGACGACGACTCTCGATTCGGCGCCAACCGCCCGCCAACGCGTCCGCGCGCTCCGCTCGCGCGCGTACGCCTCAACAGTCAAACTCACGGGATTCCATCCCAACGGAGACGCCAACGCGACGACTGCGTCGACGTCGAGCGCGCCCTCGATCGCTCCGATCGCGTCCATCGCCGCGAGACCGCCGGCGCTGTGCCCGACGAGCGCCGTCCCGCGCGTCCGCGTCGACGACCCTCGCGCTCGTAACCACGCCAACGCCGCCCTGACGCTCGCGCCTTGTCTGGATAATAATCTCCCGTTGTACACACCGTGTTCGCGTCCGAAATCCAACGCGTAGTGTTCCACCGAACATCCGGCGCCGAGTCGCGTCCCGCTCCCGACGCTCCTCGCCTGCGCGTGCGAACCACCCGACCCCGGGACGTACAAGCTATGAACGACGCACGTCCGATCGTCCGCACGCGTCTCTGCGTCTCTCGCGTCGAGGTAACGATACAAGCGGTGCGTTTCGCTCGCCAAACGGACGTCCTCGGAGGGAATCTCTGTAAAGGTTGGATACATGTACGACATCGCGCACGCGTTGGGACCCGCTCGGGCGTTCGGGACGAGAACGACGACCCATGAGACGATGGAAACGAGTAGTGTGACGACGCCGACGACGTGGGTCATCGCGACTTTCGCGTCGGCGTGTGCGGTCTCGCGAGCAACTTTGGTCAAACATTACACGCGCGTCGGACGCGGACGGTTGGAAGATTCAAACGCTCCGTTCGACGCCCAGAGCTCTCGGAAACGCGGATATAGCGTTCGCTCGCATTCCTTCGACACAGCCGCTTAAGGCGGCTGGCGGATGCCTTGGTGAAGATGATTTGTGATTTGTGATTTGTGATTTGTGATTTGTGATTTGTGACTCCCGTCCGTCTCACGCGGCGGCTCTCCGAGCGTCCGCGGCGTCCGCGTCCGCGGCGTCCGCGGCCGCGCGCGCCGCCTGATCCCGCGCCGCCTTGGCGCGTTTTTTCTCCTCTCGCTCGCGCGCCTTCGCCTCACGCTTTCGCGCGCGCTCGGCGATGTCGAGTTCGCGCGCCTCCGCCCTCGCCTTGGCTTCCTCGCCCCCCGCGCCGGCGAGCAATTCGGCTCGCGTGAGATACTTCCCATTCGGTCCTCGCACGCGATTCTTCGCGTGCGCGCTTCTCGACGCGTATCTCACCCGCGTACCCCGCTCCATCGCCCCCGCGCCGTCGTCACTCGCGCCGTTCGCCGACAGGAGCCGCCGCTTCTCCGCCTCCTTCGCCCGTTGTTTCCTCCGTCGCACGATCGCGGCGTACTGCCTCGCGTTCACGTACACCGCCCCCTCCGCCCGCGCCCCCC